GCCCTGTAAGGTGTACAAGCAGCCGTTCGCATAAAATGCCCCAGAAAGTAAGGTATACTTCCTCATGGAGTACTCTATCTGCAAGACAACGTTCGACTATACACGGCCCATGAAACCGCGGGAAAATTAACCAGCTGGGAGTCTCATGGTCCTGAACTAGTTCCGAGCGATTTCCATCTGTTTGGGCCCCTGATGGGATACCTGGGAGGACAGCGATCTGAATCTGATAATAAAGCTGTGTGAAAGTGCGCGTCATAAAATGGTTCAAATAGCGAGACAGGTCTTTCTATGCTAAGGACATTCAGGCACTATTGCACCGTTGCCGCGCGGTAGAGGTCAATTGCATTGTCAATAAATTCTCGAAGAAAATAAAGTTCACGAATGACTTGAACGACGAGGAATGACAAAGGAAAAAAACTAATGAAACTGTTTTTAAATATGAGAACAAAACTAACAAAGGAAAAATAATCGTGACGACAACAGCATGCCCGTTTAAGTTAAAACAAAATTAGTATGTCTGGAAAGCAAGAGACAAGCACCCAAACACTTATATTTACAGGAAGCTGAAGAAAGAAGCTTCTTTTTTTTCAGAAGCTAATGCTGAACTAATTCAATTTTTCCCTTGTCACCTGATCAGGCGAGATTCCATTCGGATCTCAGGGAGCAGCTTTTGGAAAGACACCCAGTGTGTCAATCTGAAATATTAGCAAAGAAATGTAGAACAAGTGAATTTAATGCGTCCAGAGCTATCATCAAAGTCACCTCGTCTACCGCTGGACTAAAGGCCGATGCACACTACGAAGAACTGCGGCAAAGCCTCACTGCGATCGTCTGCGAAGTGCGAAGTCATTTCCTGACTGCGGCCGTCTGCGAAGACGGTCCCACACTGGTCCCAGAGCTCCCAAGCGAAATCCAGTATGGGTGAGTACAATTTCAGAACTCATGCTGCAACACTTTTGTGTTTTTTTTTGCGGCCCGGGGGGGGGGGGGGGGAAGGCTCTCGACTATAGTAGGTATACAAATCCTGTCATCAGAGGGCGAATTCGCGTCTCTAGCAGAAAATACTTTCACCAAAAGAAAGGAATATTTCCCCTTATGTCCATGAGAATGCCTTCTGAGCTATTCAAGACTTTGTGTGCCGGAGGAGAGGGCAGGACACAGACTTCAGACCAGCAATTGCTCAGCGCAAATGGTGGCAGTGACGCCAAGGTGGGTAAATGCATATATGATGCGAATATTCTACATATCTCAAATACGTATAAATCAAGCAGCACTCCCTTAACACATTGACGACAATGCACGTTTTTCGTTTTTTCGCGCGTGGGACAGACCCAGACAGAACAGTGATTGTTTCACCAAACATCATAAAAGGTGTTCAAAATTGTTTGTTTTTTGAAGAATGACAAATAAATATTGAAACCAGATTTAGCTTGCCCACGATGTTTACAGTATTATTGGGGGAATTATCGATTAATTGCAAAAAATCGCGGGAAATTATTAAAAGCGCAGAAAAAATCAATTAAAACTGATACGACCCATCGGTGGGTCGTATTGTCAATGTGTTAAATGAGGGTATGGTTCAAGTTTTTGCACTCGAACAACAAGTGCTTCCTTCTAATATTGGGTTGTAACATAAGTAATGCAGTTTTTTCTGACATTTTACAGAAAATAAATTGTGTTGTTCTGCATGGCGTGTAATAATTAAATTAATGCATTAAATTGAAGATGTATTTGCAGTCATTTTTGATTTATGTAATATATTTAAAAAATCCTAATCCCTATTTATCTGTCTACAATGACCACCGATGACATCCACATCCCTTATTGCATGCTTTATGAGTTCAAGCAAGGCAATTAAGCAACCGATGCGACCAGACGATCGGACAGGTTGAAATCGCCCGAGGGAACTAATCGAACCAAAGCTTAAACTTGCAAATGTCGAGAACTTCGCCATAAACGGCGCAAATATTTTTGGTCGCGTCGGTTGGATTATTGCCTTGTTTGAGCCCATAGAGCATGCAATGGCGAATATTTATGCCGTCGGTGGTCATTGTAGACTGTAAGAAAAACAAGGGTTATCATGTTTTTATGCACAACAAATGCGTGAAAATTACCGCAAAGACATCTACTTTAATAAATTAATTTGTTACACGCTACGCAGAACAACAAAATGTATTTGCTTCAAAATGTCAGAAAAAACATTACTTGTGTTAAAACCCAATATATATAGACGATCGTAAGTGACTGACTGGCGCTAATTCTAACCATGTTATAGAAATGAAAGGGTGAAACTTGGTACACGAATAGCTGTCAGATTGCTGACTCCAGAAAAATTCCGTCTTAGGGGACACATTTCGGGTTGGGGGACTGGTTTCGCATGCCTACGCCTAACCCACGGATGGACGCTTAGGCTTTATACCACTCTTTCTTCCTTGAAGGAAGCGGGAGGGAAAACAAGTAGCTGTTGGATTGCATACCACAGATGAAGGAGCGTGCTCTGAGGAAACTGACCTAGCAGGCCTATATCTAACCCTCGGACAGACGCTTAGACCTATACCAATCTTGACCCATTCGCATCGTGAAACTTTCCGCCCTATCTGACCAAGAATCTTGCTGCATTCGCCTGGGGCACGAGGACTTTTGGCCTATGCCTTTTTTGTTCAAGGACTAAGTGGGAGAACGTGGTTTGATGCGAATGCGTTACATACGAGTATATTCTTCTAGCAGGGAAATGGGTAGGAAGATTTTCCCTAGACATTGCAATTTCTATGCACACTTTTCCTTCAACGAAATGGGAACATGAATAGCTATGGGCTGCATTTAGGAAATGGACAACTGGATGTAGCCTTAGGAAGAGTTTGAAAAGGGGACATCCTGAGAGTCCTTGTGCCCAAACATACAGTAGATATGAATATAACGATAAAATTCCTCAGTTAAAAAATATTGATTGAGTTTTAACATTGAAGTAATGAACTTGTGTGTCTGCTTCTACATGTTTTTATTATTATAGATTTATATGTAAAAAAGAGTGCGATGGTCACAGACAGGAATTAAATTCAACACAGGAACACTAAACGACGCACTGAATTTTTACCTGATGATCCTCATGAAAGTCATATGACGTGACTGAAAATTTTCTGAAGCAACTGTATTTTTTAGGTGCGAGTGACGAAGGCGCTAGAATTGCCAAACCCGTTAACCAAGGGGTTTGACCGCATCATTAGGGGTGAGCTTCGATAACGAATGCTCTAAATGCATTAATAATTTTCTTTTAGTATAATGCGCCGAAGGCGCGTCCATATAGCGAATTTGTTTGCCTGAAGGGCACACAAACTCGCTAGTAAAAAATATAAATTAAAATTCATGGCTCGAAACAATGGAAAATAATCAGGAATGTATTCAATAATTGGTATGGAGACCTTTCTTGGTGATTTATTTGCTATAACCATGTATCTCGCTCAAGGAGATTCAATGGTGCTGATTGACCTCATCTACCTCCAATACGCAGCACGAACCACTGCGAAGATGCAACAAGAAATGACTCGTCTGATTCCGTTGCGAAGCGTACTGCGATCGACTGCGAAGGTCCCTCGCATCCTCAATGCGACCGATTGCAACGAACTGCGACGGTCGCACTGATTGCATCGCCGCTCTTCGCAGTCAGCGTGCATGGTCCCTGAGTATTTTCCGGGTACGCGTCATTTTTCCCCTCTTAGTTCGATGAAATACCAAAGTACAGTCCGGCAGTCGTAAATGCTTTTCATTTGGGGATTTAACGCAGATTCCTTTCTTACTATAGGGATAAAGAGTCAACCAGTACCATTGAAGAGAAATGAAATACTGAATCTCCTATTCCTTTACGTTCTTCAGAACTCTAGGGTGGTTGGACGAGTGCACGAGTATTTATCCTCATCAGCACTCAAGAGTACCAAAGTGACCTACTCATCCTCCTCCCGTACTGGAACCTCGGGAGGAGTAGGTATTCAAAGGAGCTCTCTTCCTTTAAGGATAGAGAAGATATAGTACTTGGAGGGTTGGGATTCTACTCTTCCCTAATCACGTGCACTGCTGTAATAAAAAGCTTAACTTCAGCATTTAATGATTCCCTGAGTCATATATTATAAAAATGTATATAATAATTTCATGTTTTCCATATATATATTCATGGATTGCATAATAAAAAGTAGAAGGATGGTAAGAAAACCTGATATTATATCAGGAAAACCAGTACTTAATAGTAATTGTAGGATGCAGGGAACAAGGGAACAATCTAGTGAGGAATCTTGGTACTGCAACCGCAGGATGGTCAGCTGAAGTTTCATATGGATGGTGTGGTGTTAATTTTTCATAAACTTGTTATCATGTACTTCACGTCAGATGGAGTGACGTCTAGTTGATATAAAATACACGTACACTTTGGTGACGTAAATATAGGAACGTAAATTTTACGTAAACGTGATGTCATTTTCATGGTAATCGCAAGAAATTTACATTGTTTGCAAAAAATTGATATCTTGTTTACGTGAACATGCTGCCTGGGAATGAGAAAGGATTTCTTCCTTGCCTTGAACCATTGAGGAATTTAACATACGTGAAGCTAGACATTAATCTACAGATTTATTAAGATCACTCTGATAATTCGACATTGGGCATGATTTAACGATTCCTATTCGTTGGAATTTTAAATATTTTGGCTGGTTTTTAACCTACTACTGTTTTGGAAATTTCCACGTTTGACACTCTGATGTATTCCCTCCCCGTCTCATGCTTTTTCGTACTTGGAATGCCAAAGAAGCTATCTGGAAACTCACCATTTTTAAAAATAACGGAACCTTAGTTTTTCCCAATTGTTTAATATTAAGGCAAATTGCATTGTGGAGTTCATGCAATGAAATTCTTTTGAACCACATTATTTAATGGGTTTAAATTGCTTTCACCTATACAGATCAAGTTAATTTCTAGAATGGAAAAATATATATTTCCATCATTTCATTTCATATACGGGGAAATACATTCTTTTATTTATTTAATAACATGGGCACACTTACGAAGCGACTTAATACACTAAGTAATAATAATTCATAACCACATAAATCACACAAATCCTCGTGCTAATGCGAATTACTTCAAAAGAATTATTGTTATTTTGAAGCCACACGGATTAAGAGGGTTAAGGGTAGACGTTAATACATCTTGGAGGACCTCATCTTATGCCAAGAAAGCAAGGAGAGATCACTTAAAACCAACTTTCATTTCCATACCTCTGCCAAGAATCACAAGCTTCTCCATATTGTAACGCATCTTTCTTCGTGCTTGTAGTGGAAGGTTGGAGTTTCCGCCCTCGAGAAAGAGCAGGTGTCGTTCTTGTTCCCGACGATGACAAGGCAGTTCCAATGGCCGTCGTACATCTTGCCCATGTCCTCCACGATCTGGTTTCTCAGAGCTAAGTTGTCAAGGTTCGTCTTCATTTCACGTTGTGCCACGGAACAGGCATACTTCTCCATCTTCTTTGCCATTTTTGACTGCTGGACCTCTGACCTCGACTTTTTCTGCTGAGTATCAAGGGAAAATGAGAGTAGGTAGGGAAAGAGGCGAATCGTGCCATGTATGATCTCTTACGGTACAAGACAGTATTATGTACAATTTTATGCTTGCAATCATTCAGGCAGGGACATCAACTTTTCCTGTTGATTCAATGAACGAAATAGCACCCTCACTACGTAATTTTTTATTATAATTCATTACGCTTTCTTAAAGAGAAGGTCATTGCAATTGTGTTCTTATTGGCGTTTGGAAATTCTTAGGTGTATTTGGAAAATGTTTTGATGGCTTCTAAAAATTGACATATTTATAGCATCATAACTAGGCAGTGGATTTTTATGCAAATGCATATTTTTTCTGCAGCCTCCTATGAACATGCAACCCCAGATAGGATGATGTCTTATTGATAGAGGAAGCCATTTATGCCATTTTAAAAACGCATAAAAATGCATATTTTCACGTTTTTGTCAGCATGTGCATACGTATTTCTGTATATATGTGCATATTTCGCCCATTTTTAAGGGAAAAAGTAAGGGTTTTCCAGGATAATGTGCTTTCTTTATGAGCTATCCATGTAAATTTTAATGCAGATATAAATTCCGACTAGCAGCTTAGCGAAGGGGGGTGAGGCAGTGAAGCCCCTTAACTCTGCTCTAAATTCATCGATCATCTCCACCCCTCCCGAGAAGTTTAGGAAATTCTAGTCCCCGTTCATTTTCCTTTGCCCTCCATTGGCGAATTCCTGACTTCGCCGCTGGCTGACAAGAATAGACCAACTATACCCAGTAGAAGCATGTAATGTACATAAAGTTCCTTCTTCCGAAAAATTCGTACTGCATAAAAGAAACAAACTTTTTTTGTGGATATTTTCCAATATTCGTGCATATCTCACATTTTCGCATTTTTAAGCGCATACTTATGTGCATATTTTTGAACTCATTAACGCATAAAAATCCGCTCCCTAATCATAACCATGATAACGCCATAACCAAACATGTGATATAATTATTTTCTATAATTATTTTCTCTCGACTATTACGATTAGCACATACTGTCTCTCCTCCGAAACCTTGCCAATAAATAATATTTTAATTGCTAGGTATCCAGTTGACCCTTCAAAAATACACCTCTGTCTACCACATATAAAATGGTGTGAGCTGGTATGGTAAGGTCTGGCTTGAATGATAATATAATAGATTGAGATGATGGAATGAAATCAATATCGAAACAATAGGTGACGGTGAGGAAAGTTCAGAATTGCTGTAACGGTGCAGTTTGACAAGTAATGTCTGTCTTTGTGAGGTATACAGGGTGAGTCAAAAGGCACTGGACAGCTGAACAGCTATAACTCAGCAAGGAAGACAAACAGTTCGCAGTTTTTTTGCACATGAAAGAGCGTGTGTTAATTGACAAAAAACATGGAACTTTACATGAAATATCAATAAGAAATGGGATGAGCCTGCATTAAACGAAAAGTAACATTTTTCAACATTAAAGCGATATTTAGGGTACAATGGACGCCCTTTTCGCGACTATTTTTTAAATATTTGCTGAAAATGCTGATGAACTTTCTTTTGAGGAACGTGTTGCCATCGTTAATTCATTCTCTATCTGAGAAGGAAATGTTTCCGAAGTGAAGCGCCGATTTGCTTTGGAGACAGGTAGATAGCCCGGATCGAGCCTATCGAGTGGCCTCCCAGGTCGCTGGACCTGTCTTCACTCGACTTCTGACTGTGGGGTTTCATTGGAAGACCAGGTATACAGTATATACCAAAAATTCGCCCACAATCATTGAACTGAAGCCACGCCTCACTGAGAAGATTGCTGGAGTTGCCCTTCGGTAACGGCTCGCGTGATCGAGCTGGATATGACCAACTCAATATCATAACCAGTAATTAAAATCATTTTTACGCCAAATAAATGCATTTTTTTTCAACGTTGCATGCTTGTTAATTATTGCATGCTCTTTCCTATGCAAAAAACCGTTTCCAAATTAATGCCTTGGTTGCCAAGTTACAGCTGTTCAAATTCGTTCAGTGACTTTTGACTCACCCTGTTTTAACCCTGTCTTTATCGTTCTGGATTCAATGTTACTGGATACAAAAATTCAGCCATTTGCGTTGGCTGCGCTGAGATCTTGAAAAGTCTAAAACTAATAGCATGAACCTCAAGGAAAACTTGATCGGTCGACTTCGAGACGTCAGATTCCTTTGATTGGGAAACAGCAGCCCTTTTCGGCGCTCGCCTTATCCGCTGATTCCCCTTCAGCAGTTCGGACTGTAAAGATATACCATCAAAATGGTATTATTTCCCGAATTCGGTCTCTTTCGGCTATGAGGATGAGGAAGTCAATGTCACTTATTATACTATAAATCTTTCAATTGATCCAGTTAAAAAAAGTAAATGAATCGAAAATTACCATTGCCTTAGCATATGTCTGTATCTGCTCGGGTCTAAAACTAGGTGTATGATAAGTAACTCCCTATTTTGAAACGCTTGTAACTCTTATTTTTTTAAACGAAATTTAATTAAACAAACTGTGAATTATGCACCTATTAGTAAGGTTTCTATTTTCGCTTGTTGAACTGTTAGTCTGTTAGCCATTTTTCAACCTGAAACAAAAACACAAAGGGCCAAAATAGCTGCCTGTTACCCGGTTTGGGGATCAATAAAGTTCAGCGATGATGGAAGGTTGAAAATGGTCACCATGCAACACTGGATGCTAAGACAATAAAGAATTGTCATCAGAAGTTAATGAAAACCGGTCCAGTAACAGACAAGGCCAAATAAAAGCGACCATCAACCTCGCGAACACCTGAAAACATTGAAAAAGTGAACGCAATGTTTACAAGAAGTTCCGGTAAATCATCCGTGTAGGCACTCGTTCTTAATGAACTAAGTGAAATCTTAATGAACTGAAAGAATCAACAATGTTCTTCATAACGTACCTCGACACATGTTACGATCAGCAGTGGGGAACATACCTATTCGCCTAAGGAAATGTGTTGACAATGCATGAACATACGTGAAGAGTGAAGTGCGAACGAATAAAAACCCCATTAACTGATGCATAATTCAGTTTGTTTAATTAAATTTCGTTAAAAAATAAAAGTTACAAGCATTCCAAAATAGGGAGTTACATATAATAAACCCTGTATCTTCCAATACCTATTTCTCCAAATGGTCGATCTGACTGAAGCGCCGATTAACCAACTTATTGATTGATTCTCCGAACGACCATTCATTGAATACATTTGCTATCCACATATTCCAGACATATTCATGGAGTCCAGGCCATAAACAAGCTCATACTCCTATTGAGAACCCTTTTGGAACGTGTAAGGTTTCATCCAAATAGGAAACCTAGATTATAAGGAGAAGTTCCGTGAACGTCATTCAACCATACCGCAACTTAATGAGGTAATGAAGGATTGACATCCCGGACACTTCACGGAAACATAAGAGATGGTCCACACTCGACATGTAATCACACCAACCATGTGTAGGTCAACGCCTGTACTGTACGAGAGCGACACAAAGTATGAGAGAATTTGTGTATTTGCATGACTTCCCTATCTCTTTCTGAGGGGAGGGTTTTTCTCCTTTCCCAGAGTGAAATGGGAGTGAAACTGGAGTTGGCGATTTTACTCTCATTTTTGAGAAAAATCGTTCCCCTTTTTTTAAGAGTGTAGGAGTGATGATCGGAATGAATACAGGGTATTTCAGCACGGGACATCCACCGTGGCGGGCGAAAATTAAGTAATCGAGTAACAGAAAATTCTTCAAAATTCATACCGCTGTTCTCTGTTTGTAACCAGAATAGTGCTCATGGTTCTTCATGGCTTGCTTGGCGATGGTCTGAGCTTTCACTTCCGTGGTCATCTCCCTCTCAGATTGGAATTCCCGGAGGGAATAGGATCTGCCCCTCTGAATCTGTCAAATGTATGGAAGTTACATAATGGCCCAACACCTTTTCCCATCATCATCAACGATGGCAATGTTGACATTTGACATTGGCCTCAAATCATATCTCACAAAAGGAAACGTTGGTGCAAAACTAGCGAATTTGGACTGACGGAATCCGTCGATGCCATTTCCAATAATGTTTCTATTCTGCATAGCACTTAGGCGCTGCCATATTAGCCAAGATACCTACAAAATTAGGCTTTTCTGCCCCGTAGCCTAAGCGGAAGGAATCTTGTTCCGTCGATTCTACGACATCTGTTTACGTCTAAGGGCCTTACTCTATTAAAACTGAATGCTCATTCTGAATATATTGCAGCACCTGAGCCTTTAATTGGAACGGGACAATTTCTTCGAGAAGAAAATCACATTTAGAGTGATAATAGAATGCGGACAGGGGTCACGCAGTCTACCAAGGAACAGCAACTGGAAGTCGGACTGCTCCCAGGGCATAGGTACACATCTGCAGGGTGGGCCATATATATTCATACCATTGGTAACTTTCCTATTTATGTATGCCTAAATGCAGCAAAGAAAAAACTGTTTTGTTCTTCAATGTGAGTGCCTCCTTGATGATCAAATTTGGCTGTTTTAAAATGAATTCTTCTCTGCTTAGAAATGGCTGGAGGTTCAAAAAATTGTTTTGCTGACCATCAAGCAGAAATGCTGAAAGAATACGAATGACCCTCATACCACAATGACCGTGACCAAACCGTAAATACTCAAACATATAATTACCAAAAGTAGTTGAGCCATTGTGCCACTTTCTCCAAAAATTTTCAATCATTTTACAATGAAATGTTGCCATTATGAGTGGTTTCTTATATGAGATTATGGTCTGCGCCTTTTCAATCGTTTTCTTTTATCGACTAAAGGAAGAATCCACATAAGTAAGAAGTATCATGTTTAAAATACTTGAAAATAAGCGCGAATCACGTTTTGAAAAAACGTTTTTCGGTCTAACTACTCCGGAAATGGCAGCGTGAAGGAGTGAGCTCGTTTCGCAATCTCCCTCAGAGATTAATTTTGACAATACTAGACTCGCTTTAAAGTGAGGATCGTCATGCTGAGAGCCCTTCTGCATGTTGATTCCAAGTGGTTCAATCAGTACCTGATGTTGGATGCCATCCCCATGTATTTATAGGATTGGCGGATATTGAGATGATGGAGTAATGTGAAACACTGTTTAAATACTTTCCTCTCTCTTTAACTTCAACTCCACCTCCCCTCCTGACGAGAGCCACTAACGTTAAGCCAATGCCTAACCGACGAACTGATTCAGTCAGGTCAGGCCAGGAATCACCTTTTCACGCACTAAAAGATACTTAATACTCGACTTAAGGGTCAATTAGGTATATAATACGAGAGCCACTAACGTTAAGCCGATGCCTAACCGACGAACTGATTCAGTCAGGTCAGGCCAGGAATCACCTTTTCACGCACTAAAAGATACTTAAGACTCGACTTAAGGGTCAATTAGGTATATAAGAATCAATCCCATGGTCTTCGAGACATCTCGTTGAGGACGTGTGACGTTAGGCCGATTACAGGCCTCTTCAGACATTCACGAACTATTTCAGAGAGGACGCGTAACGTTAAACTAATTAGAGGGCTGTTCAAGTTAAATGAACCATTTCCGAGCGGCGTGGAACGTTCGGCTGATCTGGAGGTCTTCGAACCGTCTCGACCAGGTTTGTCCAGGATGCATGACATGTTTCTTACGCGCCATGCTGTTAATTCAGGGATGTCTGAGTAAGATATCTACATACAGTATCCCTTGACATTGATCGATTACTTCAGGGTGTTCCAGTCAGTCACCATTTTAAAATAATCAAACTTTTAATGTATACAAGCTACAGCGCATACCTTTACCGCATACCATATATTCGCATACCTCTAAATAGAGCATAGACTTCGTAGTTTACTTTCATGAGCAGTTAAGCGCGTGGTACGCCATTATGGCAACCATGCGCATTGTTGACGGCGCGGAGGCGTACAGGCACGTTATTCTTCGAGCTACTCAACAGCTCACTGTCATTAGTTCTCTTGAACACTTTTTCATTTAGGTATCCCCAAACACAAAGTCACATGGGTTGATGTCGGGCATAGTCGGAGGCCTCGACAAACTACTGTTGAAGACGTGTGGATAGCGGTTTGCAATGGCGTGCTCACGAAATTTAATGCGTTAATGGGTTCTTTGCCGTGTTGGTAAGTGAACGACGTCGAGTTAGGGTTGCAAACTCCAGGGAAAAATATTGTAGTATGTTCAATGAAATGGTAGGAAAGCTGTCGTGACAGCTTTCATACTTTAAGAGTCATATGTAAAATTTTACCACAGATTAGCTGACTTTGTGGGACATGCTTCTCATTTCTCTCGGAACTTCCCTTCCAGGCCAACGCCTGGTCACACTACGTTCCTTTGAGTCATGCTCTTACTTCAATGTCCTTGTGCAGAATGGAGAAAATTATGAAATATTCAATCTGTAATGGGGAAGAGTCAAAGAGGGAAGATGTCGATGGAGTGACAAACTTCATTATCACCCTGCCACTAACCATTAGGGACAATGAATCTCTTTAGAAGTCGGTCAATTAATGTCTAATAAGGTGGAAATTGATAGCATTAAAATAACTTCTTCATCAGGCGATATGTTATGTAAACAAAACGTATGCAGATAACTTGTTGAATTTGGCCTACTATTGAATATTTCTGATTCAGTGTGGAAGTTATCATAAACCGATTCGCATCAAACAACTGGTCGGTCGCTCTGCCTCGGCCTACAAACCTATGCCTTTCAAAACCATAGCCTGTACAGGAATACAGTGGATGCGTGGCAGTGCGCTCCTGGATACGAATGATATAATTAACTGATTACTGAATCGTACCGCACAGTAGTGGTTTCATTAGTTCCCTCTTATGTGTCTTCTCACTTAACATAGGAAAGTACTTAGGAACAAGCCAGTCTTTGCTTTGGTTCAAACCAATTTGTAGTGGGAAGGTATGTATGAGAAAGATGCGGATGACAAGCACCACACATACGAAGAAAACCAGCAAAACTGATAAGGCTCATCTTCACCATGGCCTTGTCATGTGGTCATTTTATCTTGTGTTGCACCATGTCATGTAAATATTGAAATTTATTAGCATGGTCAACACGGCTCCCTTATCCCAAATTCATCCTTATCCCTCCCCCCCCCCCTCACAATCCTACCCGAAACTAATTAACACTACGCGTACTGCTCAAGAAGATCTCCGTGTTTGAGTCATTTTGCCTAACCTATAGCCGTAAAAGTCATCGCCTTCAGGCGTCAAGCTTTCGACTAAGGAAACTGAGGCTTAGTTCAGAGCGACAGATCGACGAGGTAAATTGTCTTGTACAAAATGTGTTACTTATCCAGATCTTTTGGAAAACTCACTTATATATGTGTGATGGGGTTATGGCATCACTGCCACCCACCTGTATGTGGGCCCCTGATGGTTATACTATGTCCAGTCTGTTTGGTGTGGACACCTTGTGAGGATATTGATGCTATGTTCTGTATAGGCTTAAGGAAGGTGTGTGCTGTTAATCTTTAGGCCTAAGTATCTGCCTGTTAGGACTAGGTTACTTTAAATACATTGCATTAGTGATTGTCTAATTGGTGGACACTTTGAAGGTATTGAGTTGG